CAGGATAATTTTGAGAATTTTTGAATCCAGGCCTGTAGTTCTGATATCACACTTTGTTTTATGGTACAATAATGGAATTGGTCTGTTTTTATGGGCCAAATGTTAAAATTCAGTAAGAAGTGGGTGATGCTGGGTGATGGACTAGCATTGTAGGTGATTAAAATGTTTTATGTTTATTTATTAACAGGGAATTGCTGGCAAACAAGGTCCAAGAGGTCAAAGAGGTCCAACGGTATGTTCTGTCTGCTCTATCACTTCTTTGATTTATTGATTTGATAAAAACTGTTAAAATACATGATTCAATACAAGTTTTGTTGAAGTTTGACATCAATAAATTGGAATACTGTCTTGTTTATTCCTCCTTAGGGGCCTCGTGGTGCTCGAGGAGCCAGAGGTCCTACTGGCAAACCTGGACCAAAGGTGAAGACTTTAAACCCATAATAATAAAACTCTGTACGAGGATTTTTTCAGTGTAGTTTATCAGTCAGTGCAGCATTGTGTTGGAAATAGTCGTCTTCTCTTGTTTAGATGCCTATGGAATCTGATTAGTAAAACCTTAAATATTAACATGTGATGATTTGTTGTGTGTTTTAGGGAACCGCAGGCAACGATGGTCCTCCGGGTCCACCTGGTGAGAGAGTAAGTTTGTAAAATAAACAGATTTCTGTTTGCAAGATCATGTAATTATGATGAAATGATTTCTAAAATATTTATACATTCAATGGTATCCGTTTCAATTAGTGTTTTGTGTCTGATGTAAAAGTGGAACATATTTTCCTAGATGCACCTCTTTTGAGCCAAAGCTGAGTGAGGACATTCCACCGGAGTGTCTACCCCATGTTTGCTGCAGTTTTTGTCTATGTTTTTACTTCCTGTAGTGTTTTGCCATCAAACTATTTTTCTAGAAAGTGTTGGAGCATTTTCATTTTTATTTATTTATTTGATTTGGCGGCATGGCTTAGATCAAATAAATGCTATAATTACTAGAATTAGACTGTGTTGGATTTCTGGTGTTAATTTTATTTTATGAGTCAGTTTCAATGTATTAGATCATGTTTGGATAGTGTGAAGTGGGTTTTGGAGAAAAATTATAAATGAATATGAACTTCTGGAAGTTCTAGATGGCTCTTTGAAGAGATTCAGTTTGAAAAAAGTTCAGATTATTTCTGAAAGAATTGACAAGCTAACAGCTAGTCTAAATGGGCTCATGACCCAAGTTATTTACAGTCATTTTAAAACAACTCCCACCTTAAAAGATTCACACTGGCTCATGCAGACACTGTTTTCTTGAATCTACACCAATAAGTTAATGCATCGCATGGTTATCTAGTACTGATTTTATGGTTGTTTACTTTGGAAGTTAGCACCAACAGCTACTGTGCAGCCAGTGCACGTCTTGCAGGAATATTACTTATTGGCCAGGGATGTCCGATATTATCGGTCTACCGGTATTATCGGACGATATTGGCCTTAAAACGTAATATCGGAAAATATCTGTATCTGTTTTTACTCCATTGTGACCCAATGTTTACATACCATACGCATATTACCCCTCAATCTCTTCAGCTTCATCTCTTCTCTCTCAAAATGCAAAAATATGACAGATCTAAGGTTTAGTTTTTGAGATTTTGGAGTTTTATTTGGCACAACTGAACTGAAAAATTAGGAATTGTGTAGTGAGGATCGTTCTTTGCATGTAGCTGTGTGTAGCTAGATAGCAAACAACTAAAATAGACCCAAGAATCTTCACCCAAGACTTACTTTTCTTACATAAAGATCTTTATAAATGTTTAATTGCCACAACTACAATATACAGTAACAGAAAAAATACATTACTGACGTCTACACATGTTTTAGCGCTACTTTTAGCAATTAGCCTAGCTTAGCATGTGTACACTAATGCTGCTTATATTGAATCAACTAAGGACCTTTAACACACGCCCAAACATTCCCATAACAAATCAATACTTACAAAGACAAATGCTAACTTGCACTGTTTAATAACTTATTCCCGTCATGAACTCAATAATTATTTGAGGCTTAACAGCATCACAAAGCATTGCTCAGGATTATCTCTAGGAGAATGCCATTCAGCTGCTGTTGGAGACAAATTAAACATGACATTTGTTTTATTACTAACTTAAATTGAAGTGTTAGTCACTTTGCACTGATAATGTTTCAAGCTTAAATCCATCACATCAAAGATACTTTATTAGTCCCAGAGGGATATTAGAGTTTCAGTACACACAAGTCAGAGATCAGACATACATGAGCAAGACACATGACAAGAATTGGTGACTGTGGTCATTTGCAACCATGAGTCGCGCTACCTTAATAGAGATTAGAGGGTTTACATGAGGATTGGTTCAGGTGGAGGGGAAAAAAGGCACTTCAAAGCTACCCTCCGGGCAGCTTTGCTCTGCAAAAAAACACCTCAAACATATATGCAACAGACTTCAGACAGTACACAACATAAGTGTCCACTAGGTGGGGTGGTGGGTTGGGACTATCCCCACTTCAGTTCCTGCAGCCACGATAGAAGCAGCGCATGTCACCTCAGTGTGGATAGGGGGAGGAGCATTGAGGGTTGGAGGGTTGCAGTAACCCTGGAACATTTCAGCTGCCTTCCCGCATTCCCGCCCAGGCTGGGATAGGAGACAGAGTTGAGTTGCCATAGCGACAGCACATTCCACATATCTTCTGAGGGGGGAGTTTTCGTTGTAGCCTTGCAGGCATTCATGATAGGAGATATGTGATGTTAGCAACCTAAATTATTTTATTTTTTTATTTTTTTATTTTTTAGCGGGGACCCAGCATATATCTGTATTGGTTTATAGCAGTATTGGAAATTAAGAGTTAGACAATATCAATTATTGGATATCGGTAAAAAAGTCAATATTGAGCATCCTTAATTTTGGCCTGAATAATCATTTATTGTTAACTAGATTACAATTTTGAACTTGAATAAACCAGTGTGATATTGTTTTTTAAATTGGAGTTAATTTGAAATGTTTACTAGCTGTTAGTCTGTCAATCTGGCTAGAAATAAAGTCTATTTCAATTCAAACAGCAATATACAAAAAGTGCTCTGCCTATTAGCTTGTTCTCTTCCTACATGTATTTTTGTTCCTATTTCTGCAGTAATGGTCCTCAGATCCAGTCAGATCCATCACATTTCCTTCCTCCTAGATATGCTGAGTAATAGAATTCCCCTTCTCTAGCCTCCCACACTACTTCACCCCTGCAGCCTGTTTTAACATGTGACATTATGCACCCACGCAAAATAATTATATTAAAATCTCTGGTGGACTTGATGTTATCATAAACGTTTTCTCTAGTAGATTTTATTAGAAAAGAAAAAAATGGACTTAATTCCACCAAGCAGTTACCTCAGCCTGGTTTTATCCTTTCAGGTGGACAATGGTAGAATTGTGCCTCCAATTTGAAAATTATCATTTCTAACCAAGAGGTTCTTTCATTTTAAAATATCCAGACTCAACACAAATGATGTTTTTGCATCACAAATCAGGCCAAGTGTTTTTGCTGATTGCAGGGACCTCAAGGGCCACAGGGACCAGTGGGATTCTCTGGACCAAAGGGTCCCCCAGTAAGTTTGTCTCTTTTCTTTATCCAGGAAACACTGGAAGCTGTTGACAGTAAAATCATGAAGCCCAGATATTTCAGCGCTTTTCACTGAGTCTAAACTATTCTTCATTTCCTCTTCCTGCTGTTGGAAGAGAAAATTAGTCCAGTTTGAGATAATGATAGACGGAAATGGAGGCTTTCATGTGATGTTAGATTACATATCCGTACTATTGGTGCTATTGAAGCAGGTCTATTTTCTCACACTCCAGTTCAAACAAGCAGCACTTTCCTCCTATTGATTCCAGGTAGATTTATAGCTACCTCTCAGCCTTTGATTGAGCCTATTGTTTTATTTTGTTTCTATCAGCCTGAATCTGACTTTTCTGTTCTGCATATCTTATGGTGGATTGGGCCCATGTAGCATACTTGCATCAAGAGGTAAACCTTTAAATTATGTTGATGATGTTGATGTCTGTCTAACAGGGACCACCGGGGAAGGATGGGCTGCCTGGACACCCTGGACAGCGTGGAGAGACGGTGAGACATTTGTCCTCTGTTCAGGCTCAATCTTTGTCCCCATACTGATTATGGAATTAATCAGCCGGACTAAACAAATATTGTAATGTTTAATCCAGTCATTAGATGTCTATTTATGTAAAATCATAACAGACTGTTAGTAAGCCCCAGATTTGTTAGATTGCATCCACATTTATTTCATTCAGGAGCTCCTGGATTGGTTTCGGTTTGTTTTTATGTTTGAAGCCATCTCTGCTTTATAGCTTCCTCCAGGCTGCATGCAGGTTTCTCTGTGTCGAGGTGATGACTGCAAACCGTTAGAGAAAAAAATGTGTTTTTTTATCACATTACAACACCCTGGTTGTCATTTTTTGCATGTATGTTCATGATTTAATCTCAAGGATTGCGTGTAAAGATTCTAAACACTGAATTACCCTGTAAGACCTTCCTTAAAGTTTTGATTTTATAAACTTCCTCTAAACAGCAGAATAGATCAGATTCCCTCAGTCAGTGGAACAGTATTAACATTCATCTGTGGCTCCTTGGAAAAAATCAGGATAAGACATTTGAGTGAGTAGCCGAAGGGCAGTCATGTGTCATAAAAGATGCAAGAACAAACTTCAGAACGTCGTTTGTCGTTTTTTTTTCTCATCAGTCAAATGAAGCTACTTACATGTCGTTTCTTCATGTTCACAAATATCCTAGATGGAAAAAATAAGTTTCCCAAATGAAATAAAACAGCTTAAGTTTGAGAGATAAAGTCACCAAGGGGATTAGCTTCAGCAGTATTCAGCTGTAATTGGTTTGTAACATCTGAGATCAGAATGACAAACGTCTGAACTAAACCTAGAGTAAAGATGCATCGATGCAGTGACAGAACAAAAAAGAAAACTATGTTTAAATTGAGAAGATCTGCTACAATCCCCCAGCTCTCATCTTCGACCCCTCTCTGTTTAGTATGCATCACTGAGCTTTAGCTCCACTAACCTCAGAGGGCTACAAATTCGGCTACAAGCTCGACAGATCATCGACTCCATTATTTAAGCTTTCCCCTCCACCTGGCTCTGTCCTATAGATAATGTAATGCAGGGGTGGCTCCCTGCTTTGGCTGGGTGTCAAGCAGCAAATGCTGGTCCTCATCGGAGCAATAATGGCTGCAGATTTATGAGCTGATGAACAGCACTGCAAGCATCCGATATGAGACGTGATCACAGGCAATAAAGGTGATTCCGGGTGACCAATCTCAGAAAATCAAGTCGAATTTGAGAAAGCGGAAATCTTGGTTTGATGCCAGTGTTTCTGTTGTTTTGGTCTCACATCTTATTATTAATAATAATAATTGGTATGGCCTGTATTTGTATAGCGCCTTCTTAGGGTTCTACAACCGCCCAAGGCACTTCACAACACAATCAGTCATTCACACACTGGTGATGGTGAGCTACAATGCATCCACAGCCCTGGGGTGCACTGACAGAAGTGAGACTGTTCTCCAGTAATCAGAAGGTTGTAGGTTCGATCCCGGCACCTCGGACCAGACACCTCACCCTCCTTGCCTGCTGGTGGTGGCCTGTGCTCAGCAGCCTCGCTTCTGTCTGTGCACCCAGGGCAGCTGTGGCTACATCGTAGCTTATCACCATCAGTGTGTGAATGGGTGAATGTACTGTAGCGTAGAGCGCTTTGGAGTCCTCGGACTCTGAAAGGTGCTCCACAAGTGTGGGTCATTATCATTTATCAAAAATAACAATAAGACGAAGAGGCAGGGGTTTATTTATGAGCATCCATTAGACCTGACGTGTTAGTGTGTCTCATTGTGGACATTTGTGTCTAACGATGTTGGTATTTGAGTCAAATGTGCTTTTGAACTTTATTAATTCAATAAAATTAATAAATAGACATGATCCAAAATTAGATCAGATTCAAATGTGATTTTCTTTCTATTCCTGTTGTAAGAACGGTCATAACTAAATGATGTATTTTCATGATGATTGTTAAAAGTTTCCGGGTGTTCTTTCAGGGTTTCCAAGGAAAAAATGGTCCGCCAGGTCCCGGAGGGGTTGTTGGTCCCCAGGTAAGAAAACCTTTTTCCACAGAAAACAATCATTTTTTAGTAAACAGAAGCCCTAAAAATAGTATCATAATAAACATTTATATTGCCCCTAACCCTAACACTTAAAGCTACCAGTAGAAAATCAGTTCACCTAAATGTTAAATGTTTTAGATTACTCGGCATTTTAGCCAAGTTACCTAATGCTGTCCCGATTTCCCTCAAGGTTAAAATGTGTACAGTATAAATATAAATAAGGAACTCGTCTTTTTTTTCTTAATTAAAAATGAAGGGGAATTAATGAAGACGCTAACTGTAACCACTGTAAATATAGTTATCTTTGTTTATAGAATTTAACAAGTTTTCAACAAGAAAATAAGCCTTAAATGTTTCCAAATGTACTGATCACATAAATATTAAGCATTAAATAAGGTTTATGGTGTGAAAACGTATTATTCCTAACATGCCAAGCCACTCTGTTTTTGTTTTTTATGGCAGACATTGGACTAATAATCTAAACGTGTTTTAACTTCTCAGGGACCCACAGGAGAGACGGGGCCTGTTGGTGAGAGAGGACACCCAGGGCCTCCAGGCCCACCTGGAGAACAGGGTCTTCCAGGAGCTGCTGGCAAGGAGGGAGCCAAGGTATGCGTGGGCAGGGAGGTAGAAAGTTGATCATAATGATATAAACGAGGGTTTAACACACTCTCTCTCTCTCTCTCTCTCTCTCTCTCTCTCTCTCTCTCTCTCTCTCTCTCTCTCTCTCTCTCTCTCTCTCTCTCTGTCTCTCTCTCTCCAACATAAGCTTTAAATTGAATTCACGTTATAAATTCAGATTTAATTCCTCAGATTGCTGAACAAACAACAAATTCTATCACCTATAGACGGTATTTATTTAGATCTCTTCTAGGGTTGGACGATATGGTCTAAAATCAACATCACGGTATTTTGAGAACGATGAATGAACGATAGCTACATGTATGCTCAAAAACAAAAGGTGCCCACTAGATGGGGCTGTTACATGTATTGTGTTTACTCACATTGTCATGTGGCTGAGGCGATACAAAGGGACATGATTGTCGCCACCCTACACACCTTTTCATTTTATTATTACACAATTTAAAGATATGGGAAACATGATATCGGTTAGAGTCAGAAATTTTGATAGCGACACATTTTTTATTTATCGCCCAGCCCTAATCTCCTCCTAGTTTTGTTCCCTCACTAATCCCTGCAGCCGAGGGCCCATTTGTAGCAGAGATCCCATGTTCTGTACAGAAGATGCGCTGTTCCAACCAAATCCCATCCTCCTGACACCATTCTGCATCCTCCTCTTCTTTTTAACTGTCATGCCACCTCTTTTCTTTTCTCCCCCAAACTGACAGTTTAATAAAACCAGTCAGCCTGTTTAAACTATGTTTAAACATTGAAATAAGTCTGTGTGTGTGTGTTGTGTCCATGTAGGGAGATCCTGGACCACAAGGATCCTCTGGTAAAGACGGCCCCCCAGGCCTCCGCGGGTTCCCCGGAGAGCGAGGTCTACCTGGTGCTACGGTAAGAGCAGGACTCCCTCTGCAGCCATCCGTCACAGTTTCACTTTATGTGTTCTGTTGGTAGAACGTGATGGACCTCTGCTACATAACAAGTGAAGCAGCATCAGTGTCGAGCTGCTCACTTCATTAGAGGCCGCAGCACTGGAGTTCACTCGGAGCGATCAATCTGCTGCAGGGGAAATCTGAAGCGACATTTTCCAAATAAACAAGGAAGCTTCTGCACATGGACTCTAGAGTTGAACCTCTCAGCGGGAAAATGAACCTGTTACATCACTTTTAGTTAATCTTTGATTTTATTTCAAAGTGCGGCAAAAGAAATTTGCATTATTTAGTGAACTAATCGTTATTCCAGACCTGTTGGTAATTAATGGAAGTTTTGTGGGGTTGGATTCACGGTAGATTTGTTTTACTTCTTCTGTCCTCAAGGTCAGTGAAACGCTGCAGGACAGCAACACACCTGATTGCTTTCTGCCTCTGTGATTTACCCCGCCACACAACCTCCATCTACAAAAACCTCATTACCCATACGGGTGTGTGCTGCCTTGTGGCTCACCCGGTAGCTATACACACGAGTGTCACAAGCACACAAAAACACACAAACACAAGTCTTCTGAAAACGCACAACAAAAAGTCACACCTTTGTTTGGATGAAGAGAAGAAGAAACAGATTGTTTCTGCCTGCTTAAACACACAATGCTAGTTTAACATTTACATTCATACAGTGTGCAGGAAATCCTTCTGTTTAGGTGCAGCCTCTGTGAAAACTCGAAAATAAAGCACATCCTGAGTGTACGTCTTCTGAAATCGGTGGTCCACACTTTCATCACTTCAAGGCTGGATTACTCTAACTCCTGCTCATACGGCATCAGTAAATCAGCTCTTTCTAGACTTCAGCTGGTCCAGAATTCAGCAGCTAGGTTGCTGACTGGAGCTGACAGAAGACAACACATTTCTCCAATTCTGAAATCTCTCCACTGGTTGCCCGTGCAGTTCAGGATAAATTTCAAAATTATGCTTCTCTCTTACAAATCCTTGAACCATCAAGCTCCTCCATATCTGTGTGAACTTGTCCATTACTACAACCCGCCGCGTGCTCTCAGGTCCGAAGATAAGCTCCTCCTAGCTGTTCCAAATGCACGTTTAAAAAGCCGTGGAGAAAGGGCTTTCTCTGTCTGTGCACCGAAGCTGTGGAACACATTACCACTGCTAGTGAGGTTAGCACCAACAGCTAGCATTTTTAAATCACGCCTGAAAACTCACTACTTCAACCTAGCATATACCACATAATTATGAACCTCACTTAAAACTACATTGTTTAAAAATGGAATTCACAATATCAACTTCTGTATTATTGAGGTTCTTTTTTAAAATGTTTTTCTAATTCTTTATTCTCCCTGTGTTTTATTGATTTTTAACTGATACTTTTGGGAATTTTGTTGTATTTCGTTTTTATCTTTTATCTGTGTTCAACATGTTGTATAACGCCGGTTTAATTAACTAACATTTTTAGTGTACAGCGCCTTGTTTGGTTGTAATGCCTTGTTGAATGCGCTTTATAAATAAAATTGGAATTGGAATTGGAAAACACAAATATAAAGTTAGTTCCCCTGAACGTGTTTTCCTGTGTGTTGGATTGTCTTTCATCCTTGTTGGTCTGTAACCTCCCTACGGTGTACCTGGTTTTAGTTTTAAACATGACAACAGTGTCTGTTTCAAGTGATAAACAGTAAACAGGAGACTAATTCAGATTTATGGCTCATTTATGCAGTTTAACAACTTTTTTTCTGTGATTTTGTTTCACCTCAGGGTCCAGCAGGTTTGAAGGGAGGCGAGGGTCCCCAGGGTCCACCTGGGCCTGTTGTAAGTACCCCGCGTGACTCCGTGTGGCTGATTAAATCAGACGTCTGTACAGTTTGTCTCGTGCTCCAGTTTGTATAGTTTAAAAAGGAAAGCCGTTAAACATGTTGTGTGCAGCCATTAATAACTTATCAGTGTTTAATTTATTAACAGCAGCTTTAATGGTCTCCGGCCTGATTTGAGTCAAATTGGACTTAATGCTAAAACACACACACACACACACACACACACACACACACACACACACATGCATGCGCGGACTGTTCACTGCTTTAGCGAATAAATGGACCTTTCCAAGGAGGTTTCTTCCTGTTAAAGGGGAATTTTCCTCTCCACTGTCGCTACATTCTTGCTTAGTATGAGGACTGTGGTAAAGACACTAACACAAGTCAGGAAGCTTTCAACTAACTGTCATGGTGAACTGAAGTCACTACACTGAAAAAAAAGCGCATTTGGAACGTTTACTTTGTGAAGTGCCTTGAGACGACTCTTGCATTGATTTGGCGCTGTATAAATAAACTGAACTGAACCATAAAGAAGTCCAGATTGCACCCTGTGCTGATCAAACATGTACTTCATCTGCACCGTTAGTTTTAACTGTAATTGAGGCTTTTTGTTCGCATGTCTCTTTGGGACATGGAGACACAAACAAAACAGAGATGATCAGCAGAACCACACAGCCAGCAGGATCCATCTGTTTGGTGACAGATTCTGGTCCTCGGAGTATCTCCTTCAGTCTCACAGGTTTCCTCTGGAGCTGCAAACATGTTGGATCTGTATAATTCAGACTAGTACAGATGATCTATGAGCTTGTTTCAGGGTTATTAGTTTATTTTTATTTATTTTGCTTCCATATAATACATTTTAAACCCATAAAGTCAAGTCTCTGGGCTTTTAAATGCCCTAAAGTAAAGTAAAAGGTAAGATTTTTATGTAAAATCCATAGTAATAAAAAAGACATTTCACCTTGCTGATATATTTTGTTTTATTATATATATATTCATTTATTTTGTTCATCTTGGTTAAAAAAATTGCAGCTGTGAGACTCCACCATGATGTATGTGCTCATTAGTTTTTTACCCAAGACTAAACATTTTTTACATGAGACAAGCTTTTATTGTATTTATCCATCTGTTTGTGTATTTATTATATCTTAATTAAAATCCTCCAATATGTATAATCTTGCAAGAAAATGCTTGATGCATTTTGCAACAACTAATTTGTTTCTTTACTTTCTGCTATCGTTGTAGATCATTAGTCCTTTTTGAGTGGGTTGTTGTAAAGTTGGATTAAAAGAGATTTACGTGTGTGTGTGTGTGTGTGTGTGTGTGTGTGTGTGTGTGTGTGTGTGTGTGTGTGTGTGTGTGTGCGTGTGTGTGTGTGTGTGTGTGTGTGTGTGTGTGTGTGTGTGTGTGTGTGTGTGTGTGTGTGTGTGTGTGTGTGTGTGTGTGTGTGTTTGGCCACTGTGTCCTCTTTAAGGGTTTGTTAATGCTGCATGCATCGATCCGTTAGCAGTAGAACTCAGTTGGGTCGGTCAGAATCTTCATGCATTTACTCTGTGTTTTATTTTACTGGATGTCTTTAATGTTAAAAGGGTTCTCCTGGTGAGAGAGGTCCTGCTGGTGCAGCTGGTCCAATCGGTCTTTCTGGTAGACCTGGTCCCCAGGGTCCTCCGGGTCCAGCTGGAGAGAAAGGTGCACCTGTGAGTATTTTAATTTACTAAATTACCTTTTTTCTCATTTACTTTTAATATATAAAGGTTAATTGAAATCTCTTTGTAATTTTAGGGTGAGAAAGGGCCTCAGGGTCCTGCTGGTCGTGATGGTGTCCAGGGTCCTGTGGGTCTGCCTGGGCCCGCTGGACCACAGGGACCACCGGGTGAAGACGGAGACAAGGTCAGTTGGGATTGCCACCACCATTTCCATCAGTACTCATGTCTGTTTTCACTCAAAGACCAGCAAATGAAAACAGCCCAGCATTCATCTCTTCTTTTCTCAATGATGTCCATCCCTTCTCGTGTCTGAGCCGATCATAAAAATCTTATTTAGTCATCTTGCTCGGTTCGTATCAGAATCTTGTTGAGCTGCGAGACCCAAGTCGCTGCAGAACCTCACCTCACCATGAACCAGAATGGACAGCTTGTCTTTATCTGTGCATGATCTATACAGAACCATCAGGATTACAGAAACAGCTCTGCACATGAGGAGCATCAGTTATGTTGGCATTCAGAAAAGAAGAAACAAAACTGATGTGAGACAGCAATCATGTGTGTTTCTGGTTCACAGGGAGAAGCCGGCGAGTCTGGACAGAAAGGAAGTAAAGGTGACAAGGGGGAGCAGGTGTGTCAGAGAGTCACTACAACCTCTAATCAACATGCATATTTCAGTCTTTATGACATTAATTCTTGGTAAATTCTAATCATCGAAAGATAATTGTCATTAACGTGGTTTTGGTTTGTTTGTTTAGGGTCCTCCTGGACCAGCTGGTCTCCAGGGTCCCGTAGGAGCCCCGGGTCCTGCTGTAAGTACCTAGGACCTAAAGGACCGTTACTTTAAAAATGAACCTGTAAAGAGACATAAAGGCAGAGATTTCTGTCAGTTTTAGAAGCAGTTGCTGCAGAAAGCTCTCTTGTAAAAGTTAGGATTCATTAATCACTTCTGATCGAAATACCAACAAGCTGTCACATGTAGGTGGAAGTTTCAGAAACACATGAAACATTTAAACAACGTGCCCCTTATCAGCTGTAGAAGGTAAAAAAAAATCTGTGTGTGCATGTGTGTGTGTGTGTGTGTGTGTGTGTGTGTGTGTGTGTGTGTGTGTGTTGTTTCTCAGGGAGCTGATGGAGAGCCCGGTCCCAGAGGTCAGCAGGGTATGTTTGGGCAGAAAGGAGATGAAGGCCCTAGAGGTTTCCCTGGGCCCCCTGGTCCCATCGGTCTGCAGGTTCGTACCAGAACCCTTTACAGTTAGACTCAAGGGCGTTTCACTGTTTGCATTATAGCCACAGTGATTACTCTGTGTAAATAATATGTTTTTCAACCATGAAATGTGTTTTAACAAGACAACAATCATGTTAAAGAAGTCCAGACCTGAAGCACATCAGCCTTCACCGGTTTCGTCTGTAAATGCTTCACCAAACCAAACCAAACAGCTTTGAATCTGTTCTCCACAGTAAAGGACTTCCGACTTTCAAGGTGTATTGAAACTTTGTGTTTCTGATGCAGATTCATTCACTTTCTACAAGTAATTCAGTTCATTTATAACTCAGCAGACTTAGCGTCATTTTCAAGTATTTAAATGTGTTAAATCCGCCACCAGTTCCAACTTTGCTATTTTAGCCAAGAACATGAAAACTTGTTAAAGTCCAGTTCTGAAAACGATCCATTGTTGGTGAGTTTTCTCAGGTTTCCTCCTTTTTGTAGCACATTGATAGTGACCCTTGTTTTGCGACATTTGCGGTTCATGCCACCTCAGACAGGAAGAGACGACACCCTCCCACCCCCCATTAGAGCAAGCTAGTTAGTGCTTTTAGCCAAACAACATCTGAATGATTCCTATTTTGGTTTTTTAGAGAAGTTCACTTCGCCTTCAGTTTCTGACATCAGTAGCAGGCGTAATCACATAAAAAAGATTGTGACTTTTTTCTTAAACCATGCTGCAGTAGGAATAAAGACAGAAACACACTCTCACACACACACTGCTGCCTGTGCGGTTTAATTGGATCTGCGGGGCATGGTGTGGTGACCTGCAGTGATTACACCCCTCACCTCTGTTCAGAGACAACATCCATCTTTGATTTCAGCCAGCGTTTCCTACTCAATCCTGTCTTAAAAATACGAATGTGGGCTATATTTTTCTGTCATAAAATCCATGTATTGATTTAATAGGATTTGTTTATTAATAGGACTCATCTCAGGTCATAGAAAGCATTTCAGCTTAGATTAAAATCGTTTCCTTAAAGTAAACGACTCTTCAAGCTGCTTTGCAATCAATTTTCCTCTGGGATTAATAAAGTATTTTTGAATTTGAATTTGAATTTAATGATGTTTTGTTGCACCATGATTGAGATCTAATGATGGAGGACCTTTCCCACAGTTCTACTCAATTTATGTGTAATTATCTGTTAAATAGTAATCAACTCCTTAAGCCAAACACTTTGAAAGTTTCCTGCCGACTTTGAGGGTCATTGTCTTGATGAAATTACTGCAACTCCTGATCATCATTCCTCGGTGCTCCAGGATCTCAGTGGGATTGGATTCAATGGACTTTTAATTGGGAGTAAATTCACTTCCCACTGCAATCTCATTAATTGTGTTGACTGACCCACTCCAGCAGCCTGTTGTTCATCAAGCACATTCAATGGGCTGCATAATTAGCACCACGCTAACTGATTTTAAGATTAGAGAAGACCTTTGCACTGATGATGGCTCTCTGTGTGGGAAGAGTTGACATGCAGCTTAAACCGAAAGCTCAGATATTAAGTGGGTTTCTGTGGAAAGGTTAGAGTAGTGTTTTCAATATTTATGTCAGCAGGGTTAGTCTTCCCAGCTTTGCAAGTTAGCTATATTTAGTGAGTATTCGTTTTTATTTATTTATTTATTTTTGTCACTAGCAACAAATCTAGAAACTTATTGGAGATTGCTGTGTAAGCATGTGTCATTCTGTTGCACTGCGGCTTTGGAATGATCTTTTTTATCTGTGTGCAGTACTGACAGTCTGGACACCTTTAATAAAACAGCTGAAGACCCTTTTATATAAAGCTGCTTTTTAGACATCTGATGGGGCTTAAAGGAGATGTACAGTTGGATGTCATCTGCATAAAGATGGTAGGAGATTCATTTAAAGAACTCTGGATGTGATGGAGAGGAAGCAGATAGAGGAGGAATTGTAGAGTGAACCTGACTGAACATCAGCACGGCCTACACTCAGTGGATCATTGCTTACAACAGTTGTAATTCTGCTTTTAACCAGAAGAGAGCGAAGTGGGAAACTTATTGTTACTTTAAGAGCAGTTCTGAACACACTGATGAGCTAATAACTAGTCTGAACGAGGCCAAAACGTGAAGTTCTGCCACCTCAAAACATTTCTAATCACTAATATGTCACAATCCTTCATCTGACTGAAGTGCTTAAATTATTATTGGATTTGCAAACATAAACACACTACAGGATTTTTGGTAACACATTACAATAAGGGTCCCTTTATTAACGTTTCTTAGTGCATTATTAAACATTAATAGACCATTAAATAAAGTGTTAACAACAGCTTTTATGCATTGCATGACATTAATATTATTTAATGCATTATTAGGCAGTTAACTAATGCATTAACCTTAGTTAATGCAGTACTAAGCTATAACTAACACTTGCATTGTTTAATTTCTTTGCATAACGTGTGTTAATTACCATGTTAGTTAATTTGAAAATTAACCCTTAATAATTATTAACGTAATCATGTATTATGGTTGTGTATTTGCAGCAAATAAGCAATAAGTAGCAGCTAGCTAATGCATCCACTTATCCTACCCTGTACTTTGGATGTTACTGGATGGGCATTAATAAACAAGTAATTAATGTCTTACTAATGCTGCACTGTGTTTTTCATTAGGAAGCCCTTACCTGACCTTAGGTAAGGTAAAAACATCAATCTCCTTTGGAAACACTTTATAAATGCTTAATAGACTCCTAAGCATTACTTAATCATATTGAATCATTACTGAATGGACTTTAGATCCTTATTGTAATGTGTGATTATCTATCCCTTTCGGAAACTCTTTCTAAATGCCTAATAGACTCATAAGCATTACTTAAGCACTGCCTAACCATAGTTAAACATTACCAAATGAATGTTTGGCCCTTATTGTAAAGTGTAAACATTTATCTATTTATAAACACTTTCTAAATGCTTAATAGATGCCTAAGAATTACTTAAGCATTACTTAACCATAATTAATCATTACTGAATGGATTTTGAACCCTTATGTTCAGTAATAGACATTCGTTAACTGCTTAATGACGCATTAAATGATATGTTTAGTAATGCTATGTAATGCACAAAAGCAGTTGTTAACACTTTAATTAAAGGTTTGTCTATGCTAAATAATGCACTAAGTAATGTTAGTAAAGGGGCCGTGCTGCTCATTGTCCATGCATGACTGAACTCACTGTGAAGAAGTCACTGACTGTAGGAAAAAGAAACCAATTAGAAGATGTGTTTTTTTTTACATTGGAGTGCAGAGGTGAAGACTAAATGATACAGGTTATGCATGACCAGACTCAGGCCACCTGTTGAGGTCAGACATTAGGTGTAGCAACGTGTCCCTACAAGCCTGTCCCACTATGGGTTTTAATCCAGTAATGTTATTCTTGAGTGGCTCTGCATCAGATTATATGATGTTCCTGTGAACTGATAATTGGACCAGTTAGCAGCTAAAACATGGACTCTGACTGGTCCACAGATTTATTTAATATCTGCTACAATGTATTCCTGCTGTCAAGACACATTTCAGCTGTCGTCCACAAAATGGAAACAAATATGGAAACTTGACTGTGTTTACTGGTAATTGTCTCCAGGGTCTTCCAGGACCTCCAGGTGAAAAGGGAGAGAATGGTGACGTTGGGCCTATGGTGAGACACCCGCTCTTTGACAGCTCCTGTGACCATGTATTTAACTATTCTGATGTAACACTTAACTCTTTGTGCAGGGTCCTCCTGGTCCCCCTGGTCCTAGAGGTCCTCAGGGTCCAAGTGGAGCTGATGTATGTAGGACCAATGAGAATGAACCACACATTGAGAGGGTTTACCTCCCAACTGAGGGTGTGGAACATCATCAGAAATGATGGAACATCTTTGTTTTTGTCATTCTGCAGGGCCCACAAGGTCCTCCAGGTGGTGTTGGCCCAATGGGATCTGTTGGTGAGAAGGTAAGAGTCTTAACACGACATCCTGGTTTTACTTAGTTGATGCGGGGGTGGGGGGGTGGGGGGGGGGGGGGTGTTAAATGTTGCTGCCCTCATTTGTTTCCACCTGCTGATGATTCATTTCACAAACTCAGCCTAAGACCTGAATTAAAGCTTTGACACAAATAAAGTCTGTTCAAGACAACCTTAAACCCTTTTCTTCGTTTGGTTGTTCTTTCTTTGTTTGGGTTTAGAACCTCTGCATGTGTCAGTTTGAAGGTTTATCTGCTCAGATGCTGACATTTATTTAACCACAGGGTGAGCAAGGTGAAGCTGGAAACCCTGGACCACCTGGAGAGCCCGGCACTGGGGTAAGAAGACTCTTGTTTGATGTTGAGTCGAGATGAATGTGTAGCAGCATTGTCCTGTGTTGTATGCAAGTGTGTGTGTGTGTGTGTGTGTGTGTGTGTGTGTGTGTGTGTGTGTGTGTGTGTGTGTGTGTGCTGCAGGGTACGGGTTTTGTTTTAAGCACAACTTGAACTCAAATCTGCATTCCCCTAACTTTGGGTGGATTTATTTTCGCTACAAGATAGCTGACGGTGTCAGCAGCATATATTTGGAGGTTGTCTCAGATGGAACATTGTGGATTGCTCAGGGGCAGAAAAGAATACAGTCTAATGAGGAGAGGGCTGCTGTGTCCATCAGTGAGAGGAACCGTTCCTCCCATTTAGGCTGGTAGATCGTCTCAGCAGGATGCTCTGGTTTGCACCACATGTGGGCGGGGCTTACCAAACCAAACACTTGTTGGACTCTTAAGATATGATTATGAGGCTGATGCATCTGCTTGGTCAGACCTGAAGTTTTTTTTTTATTTCACATGTTACATTTAAATGATTTTACCCTGTACGGTGGCTTGGGATGATCCAGACAGAAATAGGAGAGACAAGTTGGTAAACAACAGTATACAGAAAAATGTGCCTTTTTCTGGCAGAGAGCATGGTTATAAGTTACAACAGTGTATTTATTTATGTGAAGGTTGATTTGTTACAACAATTGTGTTCCATAATCCAGCATAATCCTGTTTTATACTGAAACTCAAAAAAACTTAAAAGAAACAAATGATAACTAAGATGAAATTAGTTCACACACACACACACACACACACACACACACACACACACACACACACACACACACACACACACACACACACACACACAAAAGACCACATTTTTGAAAAGATAAAGGGAATTAATTCATTACCCATCAACAAATACATATGAACATGAATCAAGTCAGTAATCATACTAAATGAAAGATGAACTCTTATATTTTATTGGTTGTTTGTCTCGAAGCAATTAATTTCATTATGTTCTGGTTTAAACTGAAATATCTAAAAATATTCTGTATTAATGAATAAAAATTAGAAGAACATTTAATTTGAGTCAGATTTATTGCAAAACAACTGCTGATTGTTTCATATAGTTTTATTAGTTTCTGCTCCTCCCATCTACAGGAAGCTGTTTTAGTGAGAAAGCAACAGTTTTGATGTCTTTGTTCGGTTTAAAACTCAGAAACGTTTAGTAATAATGATGCTGCAGCCAATTTCACACATGTTATTACAGTTTTAACCTGTTATTGGGTTTCTTTTATAGCTGAAATGATCAATAACTGAGGGGAAATTAAAACCTATATCAAAGTTGGGATTGCTTTTGTAAAATTAGCTAAACTGAAAATATTCTCTAAAAAATATGCTTCAAAGATTTTCATCTTTGAAACATATTTTTGAGACGTAGAGACTTTTAAAAAATCCCAACTTTAAGATTAGTTTCCTCTTCTTGGCACTGAGCCATCATGTCTACGACGACAGAACATCATCCTGTTTTATTATTTCAGTTTTGAGTTAGCTATGTGGATCATCCAGGGTCCTACAAACACCAGCATCCTACTTAGATCTCATATCTAGAAATGGCAGCCTCAGCAGTAAAGACTCCTTCATCTCTACAGGGACCCAAAGGTGAGAGAGGAGAGAAAGGAGAGGCTGGCCCCCCTGGAGCTGCTGGACCTGCTGGTGCCAAAGGACCCCCTGGAGATGATGGTCCAAAGGGCAACCCTGTAAGATGAATAAGTATATTAGAAATCTGTTTAAAAAAAGGACGATTTCTGATCTCAGTCACACTCAACCTCTAAAGAAATGTCTGCTGCAGCCAGAAGGCTGGCATTTTTATTCTAGCACATGTTACAGAGCTATAAAGCTGTTTTCTATTGAAGGAGATTATGTTTCTGCTGCATGGCAATGGGATGCAGACAGAACTTCCTTCATGGCTTTACGGCATCATCATTAAGCCTATCCAATTTCCTTCACAGGTTGTAACCAGGTGCACCACGACTAAATCACTGTCCAAATTACTAACCATGTCCTCAGTTTCCATTTCCACACAAATGATGTCCCATCAGCAGTCCTTCAGGCGTGTTGTTCACACTGAGCCATCTAATTTCACTCTCTTACAGGGTCCTGTTGGATTCCCTGGAGACCCTGGTCCCCCTGGAGAGCCAGGTGTTGCTGTAAGTATGAAGCTTTGCACAGAAGGGTTTTGTGGACCATTTTATATCCACAAATTAAACAGATAGACTTAAAAGTTTTTCTAACTTCTTGACTGTCTGGCAGGGAACTGACGGAGAACCTGGAGAGAAAGGAGAGGACGGTGAAGCTGGTCTACCAGTAAGTTACTGGATAAATAAATGCATACTTTTAAAATATAATACGTTTTACAAGGATGGTTTACATTGTGATGGTCTGTATTTCTACCGCTAATTATCTATGCTGCAATGTTTTCTCTCTCAAAATTTGTTCAAAACCGCAGTTATGGAATTTTACTTTATAATATTTAAAATTATTCTGTAGGCTCTTAATATATAAATGATTACGTTATATCTGGTCATAAGAATATTTTCTTCCTATCCCATTTTGAATATAAAACTGAGCAGTTTTGTTTTGACTGGAGTGACATTTCTATTGCTTTTACATGTTATTGTATCAATATTTGTTTTTCACTCTTATTTTTCAATCACGTTCAAAATAAACTCATAAACTAATTTAAATTACTTTTGTTTTTGTTTAAAAGCTCTGATGCTTCCTCAGACCAAGTAATCTCATTGAAAATTACTAGGAATAATTACAGATTACTCAAAAGTTAGTGATCACGAGTGTTTTAAAAAAACTAGCGTTTCTGTGTGTTCTGAGCAGAAAGATTTGCAGGATTCAGCTGATGTCATTTTCTGTTTCTTTGCTTGTTTTCAGGGATCTGCAGGTCCATCTGGAGAGGCTGGTCCACCTGGCCCACCTGGAAAGAGAGTAAGTCTTTTACTGCAGTGTTTTTTCATATATTGTGTCCATCTTTAAAACGAGTAAATTGCTTCGATGTGCAGCATTTTGGTTTGTTGCCATCATCGTGTTTTAGTCCATTGTGTATCTGCTGGCATTGTTGTTCTTGCTCTTTAGCCGATGGTTTAGCATTGGCAGCAACTCGGCAACAACAACTCGGTTTTTGGCAGCAAAGCTGTTGCGCTTCATTTTCGTTAGAAGCAGAGAGCTGAGAACAAAGTGGGAGACTTAGGGAGAGGGGGTTTACGCTGTCCGTGAAGCAAAGCCTGTTGAAAATAATCATCAGGACACAAAAATCATGAATCTCAGTTTAAAATTAAAAGCTCTTACCATGAGGGAAAAAAGCTGGAAAAGCAGAGTTTCTGTCCTTGTGGCAGTCATGAAAAATGGGCGACGTGTAGTGAGTCTGATGCTTTATTGATCGCTGGCTGCCTGACAGACAGCTGCAGCAAAACAAAAACACAGCGTGGACGGCTGCGGTGAAGTCGTTAAAAGGTTCTCAGAGAAGCTCCAACTTCAGAGGAAAACAATTAAATGGAGCTTTAATCCGTGATTGGGATGTGATTATCCTGTCATGTATTTTGTTTCTTGCCTTTTATCTTCTCCTGCAGCCAAATCTAAAATGTCAACCTACTGTCAGAATGTCACGTTGCGGGTGTAGGAGTAGATGGACCATGTGTGGTGGAGCAGATCAGGAGGTGAAGATGCAGGCTTCAGATAAAGTAAAATGGTTTTAATGGTGGGACGGGAACGAACAGCACAAGACAATGAAGACAAACGACCACAATGATCTGACAAAGACTGATACAAGGAGGGAGGTATAAATACACAGGGCAAATGAGGAACACATGGGCAGGTAAACAAGGGGCAGGTGGAAACAATAAGGACTAATCAAGGGCAGGAGAGAGACACAGTCAGGGAGGCAGGGGCAGACCGTGACACAGAATGAAACGACTTGAGCAGAGCAAGAATAACCAACCGCCGTCTCAGCTGGGGTCTGCGTGTCTGGCTTCAGAGGCAACATCAGATGTCTATTTTGGTTTGAACTAGGGAATGTCTCAATCCCATCTCAAGAATCAGATCAAGGGCTCTGCATCATGTCTAGGCTTGATAGGGAGCTGGTGGTGGGCTCAAGGACATCCAACAACCAGTACAGATCTCGGATTTAGTTTCACTTTCACTCTGTTTAGGAGAAAACACTTCACTTTAACGTGTCTGCCATCTTGTTTGTCTTGAATGACCTGTTAGAAAGTTAAAGGGGTTTAGAACACATCCAACTTTACACTTTATAAACACGGTCTGAAACAATGCTTCTAAACATTGGTAACTATTGTGACATCACCAGTTAGTGTTTCTGTATCCTTTCAACAGTAGTGTATAATAAATATGTATATATTGAGGTGTGGTTGGTAGCACTGTAGCCTCACAGTGAGAAGGTTGCTGGCATAAAGCCTGACCATGACCTTTAGGCATAGCATTAGCATGTTCTCCCCATGCATGCGTGGATCTTCTCCAGGTACACTGGTTTCCTTCCACTGGCCCAAAACCTGTATGTTGGGTTAATTGGAGACTTTATATTGTCCCGAGGTGTGAGTGTGTGAATGGTAATTCAAAAGTTTTCAGCCTCGCAGCAATATGGTGCGATCATGTGTTTTTACAAAAGATAAAGCTGCATGGTGGCGCAGTTGTTAGTACTGTTGCCTCGCAGCACAAAGGTTGCAGGTTCGAAACTCGGCTACAGCCTTTCTGCGTGGAGTTGCGTGTTCTCCCCATGCATGCGTGGGATTCCTCCGGGTACTCCGGTTTCCCCCACAGATCACAACATGCCCTATAGGTTATAAATTGTAAGTCGCTTTGGATAAAAGTGTCTGCCAAATAAATAAACATAAACATAAAGCATTGGTGATATAAAGGGGGTGGTGTCGGTGAATTCTTTTAGCTTGGACATAACTTGTGTTACTCCAAAGGGTGGCTGTCCTTCTCAGTCCCAATGAACTGTCTGGTGATCTGGGCTTCAGCTCTAATGGCCAGACGCTCCTGGATTTCTTCATCGCTCAGCGATTGGAGTACCTTTGACATGTGATCACGGCATCACCCTCTTTTGCACAAAGATGTGATTCATTATTATTCATTCAGAAGCTTGCTGTTGCAATAATATTACTATCAAGCTTGGCGGCACGGATAGTGCAATTTTCTCACCTTGCCATTCCACTTTTACAGAACACACCCTGATATGCCGTCACAGTGTGCCTCTTGAAATAGACCTGTGTGTCCCAGTGAGGGACTCGAGACCTGGTAAAGGTGTCCCCTCTATCTCACCTGATGACCGCTGGAGTTAGACACCAGCTCACTACTCAAACTGAGTGGGAGTGAGTTTTACAATTACCAATCAGAAAACATTGGTCCCCCATTGTTCATAATTTATCCTTTCATCCATCCATCCATCCATCCATCCATCCGTTTTTGGCCGCTTATCCGTGGTCGGGTCGCGGGGGCAGCAGCCTAAGCAGGGAGGCCCAGACTTCCCTCTCCCCAGCCACTTGGACCAGCTCCTCCAGGGGATTTCTAAGGCCCTTCCTGACCAGCCGTGAGACATAGTCTCTCCAGCGTGTCCTGTGTCTTCCGTTAGGCCTTCTCCCGTTTGGACATGCCGGGAAAATCTCACCAGGGAGACGTCCATGAGGAATCCTTACTAGATGTCTGAGCCAGTTCATAATTTAGAACTTTTAACATCTATAAACTTCTAATTTAAACTCACAACAAAGACACTACATTAACATATTTCCTGCACTATGTGAATTTCAAACCAACAAGCATCCATTCTTCAGAACTTGGATCAAAAATAACAATTCTGAGTCACTCACTGCATCTCAAGGAAAGGCACCACATCCTGCTCCAATGGGAGGAAGCGCCTCTGGTGCATTTTAAAACCTGAGGTTGATTGCTTTCCTAATGCGTCCATAGAAATTGATATTCTGTTTACTTAGCATGGTATAAGCATATGCAGCACCCAAATAGCCTGGGAGATTATTGTGGGAGAAGGGCTATTTTTAATCACACTCTGGTCTTAAATGGCTTAGGAAGAAAAGAGGATCTCAAACTGGTCACTCCTCTAAATGTGTAATTCTACAAATAGGGTTAAAATTCACCTAAAGCATTGTTTCAATTGGGCATTTTCTCATTTTCATCCTCATGCCTTCATAGTTATTTAACTAGAACCAATGAGGCCTTTTCAAAACTCTGGAACAAAAGGTTATTTTGCAGCCTTATTGACAAGAACACAGTTCCACATTGACACATGTTCTGCTGTGTTAGAACACAACTGTAATGGTTCGTTGTAGTGATGAAGAGTCTGCCTCGTTGCCACTAACAAGAGGCACAAATCAACAGAAGATAAAAGCTTGAGGTCTGAGGAGAGCTCACGTTGCCTCTGAGTCAACAGCGCTCTGGCTGCCGTCGGCCAGATCAGAGTGGAGTCTGGGATTTGAAGGTGGAGGCCACAGGTGGAGTTGAAAGGAACCCCCATAGGTTTGTAGGAATAAGATGGAAGATGGCCGACAGCTGCATGTGTTCCATGTGAAAAAGAAACCGCCGCCCAAATTTTACTTGACACAATCTGTCACACATTCTGTTTGAAGAAAACATCAGGTGTGTATTTATCAAGACAACTCAGCAGAGATCAGTGGAAATCTAATAAATCTCTTCTGATAGACAAACCTGACTCGACGAACTGTAGCTTTGAATGCTGATTGTTTTTTTTAAACACGTTCTTTCAGATTTATCAGCTAAAGAAGCAAAACCAGCTTTTCTTTCATCCACGTCTTTGTGATTCTGTAAAGTATGTTGTGTTGCTGAGACAGTGTCCTGTTTTGTTCCTTTTAGGGACCTCCCGGAGCGCTCGGAGCAGAGGGCAGGCAAGGAGAGAAAGGAGCTAAGGTAACGGAATCACAGAGGAGTCATCTGGGCTCGTCCTGGGGTTGCTTCTCATGAAAATATAAAAATAAAAGCATAAGAAAAGTAGTTTTTATTACAGTTTGTTTTACCATCAATACAAATTTATTTACACATATATTTAAGATGATATGCATTTGTATTTTATTCTAAATAGCTAGAATTAAAATTAAAATTGTTCATTTCCTAAATAAATTAGGAGATGCAGTTACTTTCAAAGTTTATGCCCCATTGTTATTGCTACAAGGAGCTAAAATGTTCCAGGAAATACTTAAGAGAACCTCTTTTTTGCTACTGTTTTAACAACAAATGTAAATCTTTTCAGCACATTTTATTGTGCAGATGTATTATTGCATTACTGTGTCGTTCATTAAACCCTTTGTTCAGTTTTAGTTAGTTGCAACCATAACTTTTGTTGCCTCCTGGCCAGGACGCCCTTGAAAATGAGGATTTTAATCTCAGTGGAACATTCCTAGTGAAATAAAAGATAAACAAATAAAAATACATTTTAAACCCTGCTCTGATGGGAATCATTCTGGATTCTTGAACAAATCCTGTTTTATGTAGCAGCTTTTCTAGATGCTCTGAAGCTGTAACTGACTGTAAAACTATCCGCACAGCTTTGCTCTGTCTATAATATGCACTCAGCTCAGATTTGGTTTGTTGTTTTTTATTTTTTTCATGTTAACATTTCAGCTTCCTTTGTATTTTTTGTACACCAGACTAGGGATGCACCGATACCAATTCCAGTATCGATATCGCTAAAAGTTAACCGGTACCAGAAACCAATACCAATGCAGTTGCCTGAAAGTGGCTTCACTGTTTTTGTCATTTCTAGTCACCTAATATTTTAGTTTTGTGATCATTTCTATTAAATTTAATTTATTTCAAAACATTTTTATCTGCCTCACAGTCTTCCTGTTGAAACAGAGAAGAACATAAAACCTGTATTCCAAATCATTGATTTTTTTTTTTTTTTTTTTTTTTGTGTGGTAGAAGTATTGTTATCTGTAATTGGTATCAGCGAGTACTCAGATCTAAGTATCGGTATCGTATCGGTTTGGAAAAAAGGTGTATCGGTGTATCCCTACACCAGACGTGTTGGTCAGTATTCATGCTTAGTTACATTGAAGATATTTGTGTTCATGAATGTCAGAGTTTTAGGTCAGAGTAGTCCTGAGGAGCAGAACAGAAAGATGCAATAGTTGCTTTTAAAAGCAGAAACACACACAAGCACAACTCTAGTCTACAGGTGAAACTCAAACAATTATAATATCCAGAAAAATATCATTAATGTCAGTAATTCAACCTAAAAGGTTAATCTATTGTATGAAATAGACTCATTACAAACAAATCCAGATATTGCATGCCTTTATTTGTTATAATTATGACTTCAAATCTATTCAGTATATTTTGAAAAAGGTTCAAATTTATAGACTCAAAGTGTCACACTCTAGTGAGCTAATTAATCCAAGGGTGACTGAGCCTTTAGTGGTTTCTCAGTTTAAGCTGAATTACTGAAACAAATAAGTAAATCTTTGCACCACATTCTAAATTGGTCTGTGGTACTGGATCGATCCAAACCTGGCCTTTGCTCTCGATAAAAAGTTAGATTTTGTGCAGACCTTAATGGTCTCATTAAAATACACAGCTGGTATAATTTCACACCTGAAGCTTCAACTAATAATTCTATAATCCACCTGTAGGGTGAAGCAGGTGCCGAGGGCCCAGCGGGTAAAACTGGACCAGTTGGCCCCCAGGGACCTCCTGGAAAGCCCGGTCCAGAGGGTCTACGTGGAATCCCTGGCCCTGTTGTAAGTCACAACAATAATGCTTGCTCTGCAAACACAATCAGCTGAAATACAAGCTGCACACTTGAAGTCGACACACATAAAAGCCCTGTTAAGCGTGATGATAGACTTCATGGAATAATCAATACTCCCATTTGGCTTATACTTTAGTTTTACTTGTTAATTCCAGCACACTTTGCTCCCTGTTTGGGCTATTAATCATGGAGTTGGGCATACAAAATCAATGGTAGACCAGAGAAAACACAGCAGCCCATAATGCTCACTACAACTAAATGGCTTTTCACAGGGTGAACAAGGTTTGCCTGGAGCACCGGGACAAGATGGTCCACCAGGTCCACTGGTAAGTACATAGCCTGTCCTCCCTGCATGGATTTGTTATCAAACTGCAGTTTGTTTGTCTTCTGTGTGAAGTAAACATGAACTTCAGGACCAGTAGTCTCAGTGAGCTAAAGCAACAGTGACCAGAGCTCCTGCTTTATAGATTTGCCCTAAAAAGTATGATGTTATGATATAATTCATTTATATTGACATATCAGTTAATATTTATTTCTATTTATTTGTTTTGTCATATTTGACATTCTTTCTCAGTGAAACAATTTTTTTTAATCTTTTATCTGTCGTTACCCAGGGACCTCCTGGTCTCCCTGGCTTGAAAGGTGACCCTGGATCCAAAGGTGAAAAGGTGAGCCTGGTTTGTCTAATCATATTATCGTAATGAGTAGGGGTGTAATGGTACGCTAAACTCATATTTGGTTCTGTTCAGTGTTTTGAAGGGCGATCAATTCGGTTTTCGATTCATTTTCAGTATATTATTTATTTATTTTTATTTATTTATTGGTTTGTTTGTTTGTTTATTTAATATCTGAAGCAGCTCCTATAGTGAGCACAACCAGGTGTCATCACAGGCTGCTAATCTAGCATGATGTATTTAATTATTTCACAGAGTATTTGGGCCACAGACATATGTACGTAGATGCCCCGTGAACCAAGGGCGCCCCCAAGGGGTGGCCAGGGGTGGTCATGGCCACCCCTAGAAAATTGCTGGCCCCCTCAGGAAAAGCCAGTGTTAACAAATTATGTTAGTGTTCAGTCAAACCATATATTGATCTTATTTATTCAACACATAATTCTAAACAAAATAAAAATATTACAATTAATGAGTAAAGAAATAATCAGAATTTAAAAAATACACATGTGTCTGCTGCTCAAAAATAGTTTTTTTTTATCTCCATAGGTTTTCTTTAACACAGCAACAGGTGAATTAACCCAAAAATATATTTTTAAATTTAAGTATGGATACCATTTTAAATAACTGAAATATATATTTCTGAAATGTTTGTGTTTGAAAAATTTATACGTACTGTTATTTTAATAAAAACGAATAAAGGAGCAATGCAGTACATTGCCACAGGCTAAATTCTCCCAGCCTTACCACAAGGACCAATTTGGTGTGCCACCCCAAAAATCTCTTTAGCCCCATCTGGCCACCCCATCAAAATTTTCTGGAAGTGCCGCTGCCGTGAACTGGTGCTGTCTATTGGAGATGCCGTAGTGGCTGACCCCAGTGCATTCATTTCTACTGAGGAAGGTGCTTACCCAACTAAAAATCACGTTTTATCAAGATTTTTTTTTTCACATAATCAATCATAAGGTACAGCATGATAATTCAAATATAAATATAATTAAATAAAAATGAATATTAAATATAAAATCCTATCAGGTAGGCTAGAAAAGTCACTAGTAATCCCATGTAATCAGTTTTCAATTGTATGCTGGTTGTTGTTACCGTAGGCTGCACAAAAACGGCATAGTTGCTCACTCTGCAATGACTTTGGAGAGTGAAGAGACCCATCTAACATGGCGGTGACGCTGTTACACTCTCCAGCACCCAATGGGGCGTCTGCATACTCATGTTTACGATTTGAGCAGCTCACTCATACAGATGTGTTTGATGTGTTTTTATTTCTTAAAAACTCACCTCACACTGCCAGAGTTTCTTCTTTAAAACTCGTATTAAATAACGAGCGTCCTCCGCTCCGTATTTTTCATTGTGAGATGAAAACTTTACATGAGTTGTATCAGCGGACAAGTTCAGCAGACATGTTTGTTTACATGTTTGCCGCTGCATGCCTGCACACTGAGAGAGAAGGGAGGGACAGGCGACACGATCGGAGTCTCTACACAGACTCCACAGCAGCAGCGACAGTCAGCTGGTTTGATCCGCTCCGAGAGATGTTGATCAGAATTTGAAGATCATATTTTTTGAATGGAGATCAGATGCTCGCAGCCATTATGCATCACTCAATACAGCGTCCATGCGAAAACTCACCGAGGAATTTTCATCCGCTGCACTTAAATGACGCAAATGTGTGAAAAATTAATTATTTCATGGAAAAAATAAACCGTAACGGTACGCAAGTGGACCGAACCAAACTGCCCGAAACGAAATGGTTAAAAAAAAATTGTGAACCGGTAATGAGTAAGGGTGGGTAATTTGGTGAAGTCATCAACAATTTTCGATTAACCAAGCCCTTGGACGATCATTTTTAATGAGCGATATATTAGGCCTATGACTTAGTCTCGCAGATGACACATTGCAAACTTCCACGTCAAATCGTCGTCTAGATTTTATGGAGACCTTAATGGTCGTAAACGTATTTAAGTTACACATCCTCTGAATGCTAGAGTTCTTTTGATTCCAGTGACATGTGGCATTCAAGGAAACACGCTAATTACTTTTGTCGAATCATTGAGAAATTCTAAATAATGCCTGACTTACCATTTGTAGCCTCACATCATTGACAGAATAGAGCCATCTCCAACAACAATGGTCTTTTAAATGCAGAAGTCCAATAAAAGTACTCCAATTAAATAGTTGGTTTGCATCAAGTCTTGTGTTCACAATTCAGCATAATAGACAACGAAAACATTTAAAATGTCCCTTAGTTGCGTCTCTCATAGCCTCCGGTAGCATGCTAATGTTAGCTTCAAACTTTTGAGGGACATTTTCTCAAACTAATAGGTGAAGGGTTGCCTACCCCCTGCTGGGGCAAAATCATCAGCTACTGGCTGACAGGTCAGAAGTACTTCTCTCTGTTATATCATGTGTGTAGCGTGAACCAACTGTGACACATCAAATAACCAGTGAAATGTGGAAAACAATAAACTCTCACATAGAACCCTCATGGATTGCTTCTGCAAACTGAATAAAAATGATTATGATTGGTGGAGGGCTCCATGCAGTTTGTCTGATCCACAGAACATCAAACTATCTCCTGCATGAATGTATCACCCTTTATCATTTTTTGGAATGAAGATCTTCGCTGGGAACATTTATATACATCACCCAACCTTAGTTATGGGTATCAGAGGTGACCAATGTGGCCTTTGTCTGTGAGCGTTCAACACCAAAGGCCTTTCTAGCCCATTTTTGGGGGGTGCTAATGCACCCCTAAGTGGATGTCCTGCACCTCTAAAAGTGAAGTATTGTGTTATTTGTGGAGATAAAATATCAAGGTGGTGCTGCTGTTAGTCAATCAGTGGCGAGATGTCCGAACATCAGAAAATAAGAATCTAAATGGTGCTGTCCTCTGCTGCCTAGTCCTTCTGGCTCACTTCTAATTCCTGACACTGGAGTGCCAGGGCTTTTTTTCCACATAGATCGACTCATAAGGGATTCATTTATATTAGAGACCATTGCAAATGTATTTGAAAATAAAATAAAAATAAATAAGCACCTTATGTTTTTTCTGTGTTGAGAATAGCTTGGTTTTGGTTCTGGTTCTGTTTTGGACAGCTTCATGTTGTGCTTAAGCTTTAGAGATTTTGAAACATCTCCCGAGGAATAACAGGGTATCAATTTAGGTTAGAAAATTCATTTGTCGTCCCTGCTTCTGTAGCAGGAAACACTTTCACCGGATTCAAAATGATGCGTCACTCAAATCTGGCCAATCTTGCCTTCTTGTTTGCTGCTGAAGAAAAACAGCGTTGGATATTCAGACAGCGTGCATTTATGTGTTAAAATTGTCTCCCACACCCTGACTTGATGATTTCAGAGAAAACACTCACACAGCAGAGGCGCTCCCGTGTGTGTTTTCATTGCAGCCGTGCTGAGAGTTTGCCTGTTTAAAAGTGCTTCTGTTTGTTCCATGAAATAGCCTCGGTCACTTTTAAATTTGCAGACAAGTTCTTTTGTGCATGTTGTAAAGGAGACGTTTCATTTACCTCCCTGAGGATCGTTTCCTGTAATGAAAAGTCGCCCCTCTCAGCATCACATGAATATTTTAGTCTTGTGAATGTTTCCGTTGTCAGACGTGTGCGGCGTAGCTTTAAAGTCTGTGAGGTCATTTCTGTTCTATTTAACTGTTGTGTGTTTGTTTCCACCCTGCAGGGTCACCCAGGTCTGATTGGTCTCATCGGACCCCCTGGGGAGCAAGGAGAGAAGGGAGATCGAGGTTTGCCCGGACCCCAGGGCACTCCTGGTGGCAAGGGTGACTCTGTAAGTGGCTGATGACTCTAGTCCCCTGAATCTTACTGAGCCTCTTGGCCTCAACCTCGATGACTTTTTAGCCCTTTTGCCCTCGGCCGTGGCGGCAGGTCACACCACGATCACGCTGGACTAAAGTTGACTGAATTGTTCACTTAAAATTTATACTTACGTAAACTTCTGTGGGTATCCAAGACAACTTGTCGCCGTCAAACTATAGCATTCTGATGATGATTTAATGTTCCTAATATTAAACGATATGCTATTTTTCATAAATGTTTTGCTGCAGGCACCAAAATGTGTTCATTTTCTCTCCACGTCCTGTCCTTTGTGTTCATTGATTGATAGAAACAGGAGCGTCATTTGCTCCTAGCCACACTATTAACATTTGAACAGATTCTTCTTCTTTTCTCTCTGAGGAGCTGTTTTAAATGTAGGATCTGGACCGACGGCTGCCTTCATTCATTTCTAAATAAACTCATCAGAATGAGCGTTTAGCTCAGCCTGCCCTTCCTCAGAGCTTTAGAGTGACGCATTAGATTGAGACTTGGGTTTATGAAAACTTAATGTCCTTTTTTAATTCAGCTTTATACAGTTTTCATTCAGTATTAGGTCACCTGGATGGGGATATTTTGTTTTTAGACTTAAGATGGAAGTTTTTGAATTAATTTAAACACGTTTTTTATTTGTGTGTTTAGACTTTTACTGAGGAACGTTAGTGCTTCGGTGTCAGTTTTATAGGCTTATAAATTGTGTCTCTGATTTATTCATCTTCTTCTCGTGTTACAGGGTGTCAGTGGAGCTTCTGGGCCTCTTGGTCCCCCAGGCCCCCCTGGTCTACCTGTAAGTTGTTTACTTAATAACATTTATTTAATGATGTAGAGTTAGACTACAGATGTATTTTGGGTTTTAATTATGATCAATAAGATGTGATGATTCTATATAAGGATACATATAAATATAGAGTATCCACCGTATTGATCTTTGAATGTTTAACCAAAAGATTTAGAATTCTTTGTTTATTCAGGGATTGTAAAACACTTCGTATTAATTCAGACAGAGTAAAGTAAGAAATTTATTTTCTAAACAATTAAAAACATGACAACTAGGAAACACTTTATGTTGCGGATGAATCTAAGTGGATGGATTGTGAGGTGTGATGATGTGTGAATGTGATGTTATCAGAACCTTCGTGTCTGAAGAACTGAGTTCTGAGTGGGAGTGAATTTGGTCTGCTATAAACTATGAGCGATGGTTTATAAAACCACATCAGACTCAGTCTGTCGAGTCTACTTACCCTTTCGAAGACCCCTACGGTAGATCCAGAATGTGCTGAAGTCTGTGGACCCCAAAGGTACCAAAGTCCGTAGGAGAAACCGCAGCACCACTAGACCGGTCTTCGAGTTGTCTCCAGGTCACGACAGGTCGTTATTTGTGTCTATGGAGGACTCTTAAGGAGTCGGAACTGGTTAGCTTTATTCTGAAGGAACCATTTGCGGTCAGCTGTAGCGTACAACAGGTTTTGACAGCTTGTCAAAAGATGCGATGGGAGAAGAGTTTTCCTCTGCTGGCCAGTCCAGAGTAAGGCTCAACTGACTCAACCCGGGAAGGGATTTTAGTTTTATTAACTTATATTACGATTTACTTGGCCAACCAGAATTTGACATGTAAATGGGTTTTGCCAACAAACCTCAGAAACCACACCTTACATCAGATACAGGAGTTCTGATTTGTGGAACAGAAAGCAATGTGTCATGAGATTACTTTAACCTTGTCATCGTCATGTGTGTGAGTGTGTGAGCTGTCAGTAGATAGCGATTCACTTGTTAAATCAAACTTTACTGATCACAACATAATAATATTCATTTCAACGTCAGTAATTTAAGCACAGATTAATCAAAACATTGTTATTATTCTTCAACCATTATTATTCATTCAACCATATGATTATTTACGTATTTCATTGCATCATCCAGTATTCTTTATGATAAGGTACATTCTTATAAAAGTTCATTCTTCCTGTTCTGTGAAGCAAAGCAGATAAAGATAAGAGGAAACTTGAGTGGGACCTTGGTCAAGCAACAGAATATTTCTTGCAGATTGAAGGTTCCAGTTAAGGCTTATGTCTCCATATGACCGGATACTGGAGAGGTCAACCGTAGATGAAAAACTGGTCATTTCTGGACGCTACAATGATGATATAACTTTAACCAGTCAATGTTGTGTACTTTTTTATTTAGGGCCCTCAAGGTCCCAAAGGATCCAAGGGATCATCAGTAAGTTAAACTTAACTGTTGTTTTATTAACAAAGAGGAATTTAGATACAGGTTGGGTAACGGTTTTCTCTTCATAGGGTCCTGCTGGTCCAAAAGGAGACACTGGTTCCATAGGTCCTCCGGGTCCTCCTGTAAGTGTTATGGACCAACATTTTCCTTTAGTTTGTGCTATAATACGCTGTCGGAATTACATGATGTAAGGATGTAAATAATTGTTTTCTACTAAATTAGGGCCCACCAGGCGAGGCCATCCAGCCCCTCCCCATTCACTCTCCAAAGAAGCGCTCCACTGACGTGCAGTCAGATGCAGCAGGTACCTTCATGGATTATGGTGAGGGCATGGAGGACATATTCAGCTCACTCAACAACCTCAAACAGGACATTGAGCGTATGAAATACCCCATGGGGACACAGAATAACCCGGCCAGAACATGCAAAGACCTGCAGCTCTGTCACCCAGAGTTCCCTGACGGTGAGTCCACCTGAGGTCCAAAACCTTCATCTTCTTGCTATAAAGTATTCTTGATGTTCTAGACTAAAGGTGCATCTACGTATGCTTCATCTGCTCAACTGGCTGACTAACTTGTTGTCTGCCTGATGTTGAAGCCATCATTGGCCCTTTTTATATAATTAGTACTGGCTATACCTGTAGCTGATTACCAGCAAGACAAACACAACATGGAGTTAATCTGATCTTTTATTGGAGAATGTTATTCTATTGCAGTATCAACCACTGAGTCCTAAAGATAAGCAGATTCATCTTATTTAGGTCTGTTTCTTTCTTTTTAACAGCTAATTGCAGGAAGACAAACAAAAATGGCACCACTGTTTTTTCTGTACTTTTAGAATCATGACTTAAAAAATATAGTGATTTGTCTGAAAGAGAGATTTATCTCTACATTACGGATTTATTTAGATTGAAAACTAATCAGATAAATAAAAAATTAAGTTTGCTTTGGTCGTAATGACATGTTATACACTGTAAGTGTATGAATGCATCTGACACCGTTTTATGTGGACATGAGTTGAAATGGATAAACGGGTGTTTGGTTCCTCTCAGGCGAGTACTGGATCGATCCAAACCAGGGCTGCTCTGGGGATTCCTTCAAGGTCTACTGTAACTTTACATCTGGAGGGGAGACCTGCATCTATCCTGACAAAAAGTCTGATGGAGTAAGTTTGTGATGTTAGTGAGATGCTGAGCGAGTTACCTTGTTTGGCCCCAGAAGGATCCAGTGTGAAAAAGATAATCCTGTTTCATGGATTTTGAAATTTTATGCTGTTTTGTTCAACAAACTGATGCATTTTCTGAATAATTCATAACAAATGAAAAAAATCCCAAATAACACATGCCTAATTTCATTTTGTTGTGCACAGGTGAGGTTATCCTCATGGCCCAAAGAATCTCCAGGCTCATGGTTCAGTGAATTCAAGCGTGGTAAAATAGTGAGTTTTCCTTTTAGTTTTCATCTATCTCTGTTCTTCATCCGTCTTTAGTGTAACAACATGCTCGGTAAATCACAGCTTAATACTCCCAGTGATTTGATTATTACATTTTATGAAAAAGAAATAAGAACATGTTGTTTGCTGCCTAACTGTGGTGCATTTACAAACCAGAAAAGTCTTTTTTTTTAGTTTAAATTGGCTGATCTCTAGTCAAGTTGATATCTGCTGGATTCCAGCTGAAGTACTAGTAGAGGACTAGTAAGAGAGGACTGACGTGTACATTTGTTTCTGTAGAAACAGTCACAAAGCTGTCATTTCGTGGTGTTTTGTTTTATCTCACCACCTTCTGAAACATGTTTATTATATAATAGAATAAAACCATGTACATGTATTTGTAACCTTGGTTCTTCTCCTTTCCACCATTTCTCTTTATTTCTGTTCTGACAGTTTTCCTACGCCGACGTTGATGGAAACTCGATAAACGAGGTCCAGATGACCTTCCTCAGGCTACTAACAGCCTCAGCCAGGCAGAACTTCACCTACAGCTGCCACCAGTCTGTGGCGTGGCACGACGCCTCCAGCGACAGCTACGATAAGGCGCTGAGGTTCCTGGGCTCCAATGATGAGGAGATGTCTTACGACAACAGCCCGTACATTAAGGCCATCTCAGATGGCTGCTCGGTGAGTTCTACATCTCTAGACACGGTTGGATCTTCTGTGTGGTGATGCGCTGTAAGCCTGTGGTCATCACCTGAAGATGTGTGGGCTGGATGGGGTCCATCAGTTCCTTCATTTAGGCCCAGGAGTATTTAAATAATAATGGATTAAAATTAATATGACATGGTAATTTTTACTTCCTATTTTGGATGCTTGAACTTTTTAAAGTGTGTTAAAAACTGGAAACACAAAGAGTAAACTAGCCTCAGTTATAACCCTGACTTATATAAAATGTAACAGAGTATTTTATTTGCTGATTCAATTTGTAATAATAGTAATTCAATTTATTTCATTTAGCCGCAGTATAATCTTCAGCAGTAATGAACCATCTTTCTTTTAGGGAAGATTGAACTTTTATTCAGTGATCTTCAGCTTTCGCTGGAGCAGTTCGCAGCCGAGTTTGAAGAAGCTGGGATGAGAATCAGCACCTCTAAATCCGAGCTCACGGTCTAGAATCGGAAAAGGGTAGAATGCCTTCTCCGGGTCAGGGATGAGGTCCTGCCCCTATTAGAGGAGTTTAAGTGTCTCTGGGTCTTGTTCACGAGTGAGGGACAGATGGAGCAAGAGATCGATAGGTGGATTGGTGCTGCGTCTGCGGTGTTGCGGGCAGTGTACCGATTTGTTGTGGGGAAGAGAGAACTGAGTCAGAAGGCAAAGCTCTCGATTTACTGATCAATCTACTTTCCAAACCTCACCTATGGTCACCAGCTTTGGGTAGTGACAGAAAAAACGAGTTTACGGATACAAGCGGCCAAAATAAGTTTTCTCATCAGAGTAGCCAGGCTCTCTCTTAGAGATAGGGTGAGAAGCTCGGTCATCCGGGAGGGGCTCAGAGTAGAACCGCTGCTCCTCCACATTGAGGGGTGACAGTTGAGGTGGCTTGGGGCATCTAGTCAAGATGCCTCCTGGACGCCTCCCTGGTGAGGTCAAACCTGGAGGAGACTTAAAGGAAGACCCAGGACACGCTGGAGGGACTATGTCTCTCAGCTGGCCAGGGAACGCCTTGGGATTCCCAGATGAGCTGGCCCAAGTAGCTGGGGTAAAGGAAGTCTGGGCCTCTCAGCTAAGGCTGCTGCACCCATGACCTGACCCCAGATAAGCGGCTGAGAATTGATATATGAATCGATGGATGGACTTTTATTCACCATTTTTAGGTGTTCTTCCTATTTTGTTGTTATTAAAGATAAATTCCAGGCAAAGAAGCTTTAAAAACCTTCTAGTTCACAGAAAAACTAAAACGTATTCATTTTAATTTGATGTCACAAAGTCTTGGCTTCTTGTTCTTCTGTTTTATTGCACATATCTATTTACACGTTCTGTGTTCTTTGGAGATGAGTAAAAACAATCATGTGGCGATTTTCTTGAGATCACCAGTCTAACACCACAGAGTTTCATTTGTCACTATGTATGTATGAAAAAGGTCTATTCCTGACATGAAAACACTCTTCCTATTTATCAGAACTGTAGCTAAAGTAAATATTTTGATGTTAAGCAAGTATTTGTTGTAGATTTTATGCTCTTGTATTTTTCTGAAATGACCTTGTGTTAATCTCTGTGCTATTTCCCCTTTTTCAGACAAGGAAGGGCTATGGAAAGACTGTGATGGAGATAAATACTCCTAAAATCGATCAGGTTCCGATCGTTGACGTCATGTTGACTGACTTTGGGGACCCAAACCAGAAGTTTGGGTTTGAAGTTGGACCCGTCTGCTTTCTTGGCTAAATAAAAATTATAAAGTAAAAAAAAAAAGACTTGATGAGGACAGCAAAGAAAGTCAAGTCGAGACGTTCTGGATGCCACCAAACCCCGTTTTTAGCCCTCACCCTTTCTTTGCCACATGCAAGTTTTGAGTATAAGAGATGGTGTAGCAAACATCTTTCCATGTATGTACGCGTAACCCAGGAAAATCCTCGCCGCCCTCGTAGGGCTCCAACCATATGACTCAAACACGTTATGGGACAAAGGTGCAGGACGAAGGAGAGCGTGGCAGAGGAGGAGGAACCGGAAGGAACCAACAAAAAGGAGTTCTAGTGACACTAAATTCTCCAGGTGCTGTATGAAAATGACTACAATGGTGCTTGATCTAAACACACAAAAAGTATATAGTGGTGCTAAGAAAGAAGATGTATTTTGATAATTATTAAAAAAATGTAATTATTATTTTGTACAATACTTTTATTTCTGAATCCACTCTCAAAACTTGCATGTGTGTCACATTCTGATTTGAGTCTTTTATTTCAGTGGTTCAAACATAAACGGAGAACGTTAAAACCAGAACCAATCAAACGTGCATTCCTGACAGCTTTGTTTCATTCACCACATTCTGTCTACATGTCATAAAGCAAATAAAAACTTAGCATTCCCATCATTTTCCATGACTAAACTAGACTGTAGGCCCTTTGTATATACTGAAAACAGCTGCAACTATCACACCAGCACATTAACGGTAACATCTCCCACTAATGTTGTGATCCTGTGCTTGTAGGAGGCAATTACGACATCCATTTTCCTTTATTTAATTCCATTTGTTGCTTTTTTTTCTTTTGACAGGCTTCTGTTTTGGTTGTATACCTCAAACTTTCTTGATAACCTTTAAGTTGAAAGGATACTAAGCCCTGTATATACCCTGTTAAACAAATAAGTTTATATATTTTGGGTGGGGATTTTTTAAAGAGAGAAATAAGTTAACTGTTAGACATCCACTGTTCAAATCCTTTCTGTGAATGCAATGAGAAGCCCTTGCGGTGACCCATTTTTGTAACTAAAGTGAAAAAAATGTTTTATTGTGCTGTTTTGTTTTGTTTTTTAGTTCATTTAAATATTAAAAACTGGATTCTAAACAACAGTGAGCTGAATGCCTCCATCATGTGTGAAATATCTGGAACAGACTGACTAATGTACTCGTCAGAAGCTTTAAATCAGTTCTGTCTCATGTAACATTAGCGATCATGGGCTCGTGCAATCCCCATCTCTTGAAACCAACTGACTACAAAAACTCAATAAAAAGTCTTCTTCACCTGCTACAGATTGGAGTAAAGAACTATCTGTTATTTAAGCATCTGCTTGTCTTTTATATGTGGTTAAAACTGTTTGGGTCCTTCTATTGAAGACGGAATGGTCACAAAGGTTTTGAGCTGGCAAAATTAATAAATTCCAAATTTCTGGAAATCAGACTCTGTTTTTAAATTGTGCTTAAACTGAATATTAAATAAAATAATTCTAAATGAACGAATCAGACCAGAACCAAAGGGAGTGCTGTTAAAGGTTTGTCTCATGTAGCAACATCCAATCACATGCTGTTGATGAGTTGCTTTAACAGTGCTTTCCACCTCAGTTGTCTTCTAACCTGTTCCTTTTAACTCAAACAATAACAGACAATGAGACCAGGGCCGTTTCTCAATATGCATACTTGTCTGTCCTTGTGTATTCACGTCCTGTGAAACGTCATCAGCGATGGCCCAAGGACTAATCCAATCCTAAGTATGCATCATGGCAAATTCACTCAAAGTTCCCAGATGTGTTTTTGCTCCACCCATTGTATCAAGGATGCATCAATGCATCCTTTTGCGGACTTTGGACAGCAGTTTCCCACAATGCATTGCGTCACAGCCTTTATGCTTCGAATATCAAAGGAAAGATCTAATAACTGTAGAATTTTATATCAGAAATACTAATAAAGAAATGTTAAGTTGTCTGCTGTTGTAAATAATTGTGTAACCTGTATTAGCTGCATTTGGGTTTTACTTTTCACAATACCTCAAAATGCTAATCACCTAACCCACTTTCAAAATAAAAGCAGAGTATCTGTTTTGATCAAAATAAATAATTTTTTATCCACTTAACAGCGGGAAATGCTGGTATTTTATCAGTTTTGATCAAAAGTGGACCAAATTAAATACAAATAATATGTTTTCATTGTTATTTTGTTATTTAAGGACCAAACTACATTTTTTTATACCAGGTCTGTTAAGCTAGAATCAAGCAGCTGTTGGAAATAATTCTGTTGAACAGCAAGCTTCACTGGTTCATTTTCAATCTTTTAAATGTGTTATTTAAGTGGCCATTATGGATTTTCAGTCTTTAGTTAAAGTAACAAACACTCACAGACACAAAGCTTAGGACTTTAAGGCTCCAGTGGGTTAAATGTTCACACAGAAATGATACTTAATAGATATAAAACATATTCAGTCATTTCTTTATGATATTCTTTTGAGCAAAACCCTAACAGAATGAAGGTCTCGTGAAAAAGACTAGTCTTTTTTCCAGGATTAGAATTAAACAGATAAATAGTTATTGTAAAAATAAAGAACACAGTTCTTTACATTTCCCTAAAGGGTTTCAAGTATGTCTTTGTTCATTTAATCCCACATTTTCTCCATGAAATATGTTAATAAGTCATTAGGTTAGTCATGTTTGTCCATTCTTGACTATTGCATTGTGTGTGAGCAGCTAAAAGTCTTAAAAGGTGAGGTCATGAAACAGAAGTCATGACTCAGAATGCAGACTCTTCAGGGATCCGATGGTAATTCATCTGTGAGGACAATAATGTAGGGTTCCAGAACTTGTGCAATGTTCTGAATTGGTCTAAAAATCAACAAATACTTCTGGACTCAATTATATCAAATTGAAACATTTAATAGTCCTATGTCCATCTTAGCAGTTTCCCTGTTTTCTGCCAAAGCTACTCTAAGCAGCACTAGCTTCTCATTTTGCACATGAAATAATTTTTATTTCCCTTGAAAAAAATATGTTTAATCCTTTTTAGGACTAAATGTATTTTTGTGCATGAATCTTTGGCAACTTTGCACGTTGCTAAATCACAGCACACTCCTCTCTTATAATATGGGATAAATGAGGTCTAATTCATACTCAGTCCTCTCATTTCTTCTTGAAAAAATGTTAATGGTTGGCACCTTCAAAAGATTGACCACCTCTAAACCTTTTCATTTCTCTTTGAATGACCGAGAAGAAATCCACATAATGGCAACTGTCGGGTGTGTGATTTCATGTTTCCTTTTTCATTGAAGGTCTGGGCTTAGAGGCACAACCAATGACTTGTGATGTGGAACCACTCACAAGAAAAACAATGAAGAAATGTCCTAACGTCACAAGAAATCTGATCTTTACAGTCCAAGTTGCTATCATCCTGCTTTTGGAGTTCTGTCCCATTTGCCTTATTTTTTGCAATAGATTACTTTTATCTGTAATCCATTTTAAGGAGTGAACCTTCGACCAAATCAAAACTAATCTTATACCTGCATCAAGAGATATTTAAGGATTGTGTTTTCTTGGGAGTACAGTTAAAAGACACATTGCTGCAAGGAACTTGTTGATGGATTTGTTTATTTTTATTATTTCTTTAGAAATTAATAGAAGTTATTATTAAAGAGAGGAGTTCTTGATGGCAGCTGCAGTTCTGATCTTGGATCTGCAAGTCTCACCTCCTCACAGGACTTGAGGCTTGTGGTGTAATCTGTTTGAGTGTAACTGGGTTTTATTGTGAAGGGGAAGGGGGAGGAAGTGATTCAATAAAAGATGGAGTTTGTGTGCTGGACAAGGTGTCACTGGAATCCTTGATAAAACACGACATGGTGTCAGAAGTGGGATCACAGTAAGTCCCTTGTAATCGGGGAGTGACAGCAAAAAGATTTGAGAGCGGTAAAGAGGTTTTTTTTTCTCCAGACGATAAGATTTCGGACGAAGAAGCGGGAGCTAGCGCAACGGCTACACAGCCTCGCATGCCACTGCCTCACCAGCAAGCTAACAGCAGCTACAATGCGAACGTCAACTCACCCCCGAATGCCACATTCACCATCCAGCCTCCAGAGCAGTTTGATTTCTCAAAGCCACAGCAGTGGGAAAAGTGGATAAGGAGGTTTGAAAGATTCCGACTTGCTAGCAACCTGCATCTTAGCTCAGAGGCTAACCAGGTAAACACACTCATCTACTGCATGGGGGATGAAGCAGATGATATCCTCAGAGGGCAAGCTTTATCGGACATACAAAGGCAGCAGTACCAAGCAGTAAGAGACGCTTTGGATACATACTTTGTTCCCAGGAAAAACATTATCTATGAGAGAGCCCGCTTTAATCAAAGAACACAGCAAGCTAATGAGGCAGTTGACTCGTTTGTCACCGCACTTTACGCTTTAGCTGAAAACTGCGGGTATGGGGCGCTGCACGATGAGTTAATAAGAGATCGCCTCGTAGTGGGACTGAGGGACATCAGCTTAGCAGAGAGACTTCAGATGGACAAAGATTTGACTTTGGAGAAAGCGGTTAATCAGGCCCGGCAGTCGGAAGTCATCAAAAAACAACAGACGGACATCAGAGGGGAAAATAAGTTGGAAATAGATGCTGTGACAGCGAAGCACAGGGAACAAAAGCGTTCAACATTCAAGCCCCGACGAGAACGTAAATACACAACAACGGATAAAACACCAAATGGGAGGTCATGCTACAGGTGTGGGAAAACCCCTGCGCATGGTAAAGGACAATGCCCAGCAAAGGAGACAATATGTCACTCATGTGGTAAAAGAGGACACTTCAGTAAAGTGTAAATCTGTTAAATCTGTGCATGTGATAGAAACAGAGGAATGTGATGATACACCCGTGTTCCTTGGTTCTGTAGACGCAGGTTCAGACCCTTGGTATGCAGACCTTACTATCAGAAACCACAAGGTTAGATTTAAGATAGACACAGGAGCTGACGTCTCTGTTATCCCAGCCCAAATGTATTACTGCATAAACCAAAATGAGACAGGGTTATGTGAACCAGATAGACCATTGTTTGGTCCAGGTGGCACTCCACTTGATGTGTTGGGAATGAGCAGAGAAACAATTTGCAAAGGTGAACAGGAAATCCAGGAAAATGTGTACATTATCAAAGATTTGCACATAGCACTGTTAAGCAGGCCAGCAAGTGTAAAGCTAAACCTTGTGTGTAGAGCTGACAGTATTGACATGAATGTGTTAAACGAGAAATACCCAAAACTGTGTCAGGGATTAGGTTTAATGCAACAACCTTACACTATTAAGCTGAAACCCAATGCTGTGCCTTTTTCCCTGGCCACCCCAAGACGGGTCCCCATCCCTTTGTTAGGGAAGGTGAAACGAGAACTGGAAAGAATGGAGTCCATGGGAGTAATCAGCAGAGTTGAAGAACCAACAGAATGGTGTGCAGGTATGGTCCCAGTGCCAACAAAAAATGACTCTGTGCGTATTTGTGTTGACCTTACTCACCTCAATGAAGCAGTGTGCAGAGAAAAATACATCCTGCCTTCTGTTGAGCAGACACTTGGATCCCTGGCTGGAGCAAAAGTCTTCAGTAAGCTGGACGCAAACAGAGGCTTCTGGCAGGTTCCGCTGTCACCAGAGTCAGCACACTACACAACATTTATCACACCCTTTGGGCGCTTCTACTTCAACAGACTTCCCTTTGGAATAGCGTCCGCCCCGGAACATTTTCAGCGTAGAATGTCAGTGATCCTTAATGGGCTGCCAGGTGTGGTTTGTCACATGGATGACATCCTCATTTGGGGACAGGATCAGCAGGAGCACAACGCCCGGCTGCACACAGTGCTCAATAAACTGCAAGAGGCTGGTGTCACTCTAAACTTGGAGAAATGTGACCTGAGTAAACAGGAAGTGAAGTTCCTCGGACACGTTTTGTCTGCAGCGGGAGTACAGCCAGACCCAGAAAAAATTAGAGCAGTCACAGCAATGAAAGAGCCGTCAAACATCAGTGAAGTGCGCAGCTTTCTCGGGATGGTTAACCAATTAGGCAAATTCTTCCCAGGACTGGCCGAAAAAGACAAGCCCCTAAGAGACCTGCTTTCGAAGAAAAATCAGTGGGTTTGGAGCTGCTCACAGCAAAAAGCATTCAATCAGCTGAAAGGCGATCTGACGTCAACTCCCATTCTTGCACTCTATGACCCAAACAAAGAGTTAAAACTGTCTGCAGATGCTTCCTCCTATGGACTGGGAGCAGTCCTCTTTCAACAAGAGGGAGAGCAATGGAGACCG